AGAACACTGCAACACACAAGGCAGAGACATGCTGAGCATGGACAACCCCACACTTGGCCTCTCCCCAGCCAGGCTTTCCCACCTAGCTTCCCACAGGATTTTGGTGATACAGGCATCCCAAATTCCAAAAGCCCAGAGCTACAATTCAGTTAGCACAGCAGAGTACCCGTTGAGGGAGAGCACACCCAGGGGAGGGCTCCTGCGGTCTGTCCAGATATACAGCACCAGGAGCATCCTTCCTCCAGGGCTGAGATGCTAGAGACACCAGAAGCAGCAGCTGCAGACCACACAGGGCAGCTGGAGACAGAAGGCTCCAAAAAGACTTAGATCTCCTGCCCTTGACGGGATTTCACCTTGCTGCCCCTTTCCTGCAAGGCAAGGGAGATCCAAGACCCCGCAGGGCTGGGAGGCACAGCCAGCCCTCTCTGCCAAGACACAGAGCCAGCACCAAGCCAGACTCACAACACGCAGTCCCCTGTGCATCATTCCATGGTCTCAGAGCCTCCTCTGCTTCACACCTCCAGAGCCCCACGGGAGGAGGGCAGACAGCCTACTGGAAGCTGGTGTCCCCGCTGCCAGATGCTGTGGGGTCACACAAGCTCAGGGGTTTCAGAGGCTCTGTTCAGGTCCCAGAGAAACCACCATGTCTTTGCCCAGGCCCAACAAGGGCAAACATCCCCAACACACAGGGACAGCACAGGGGGTCCCCGAGTCAGATGCTGAAAGGGGCCTGAGCAACCTCTCCTCACACGGCATCACATTCTCATCCCTACTGCATTTTGGTGCAGAGGCCTCACAAACCTTCCTCTGCTCCCAAAGCCTGGGAGACTCTATGTTGCCCACATCAGATTCCCACAGAGCATGTAGTCAAGAAGCCAGACGGAGCAGGAACAGCACCTTCCTGCCTGCAAGAGACACGGCGCTTTCAAAGCCTCTCCCCTCATATTCTGCAGGAAGGAGACCTCCATGGGGTGCAGGGAGCAAGTACCTACCAGGACCTGCAGCAGCACAGGAGAGGCAAATGAATTGTTGCCCAAAAAGCAGAAACTCCACAGAAACCACAACCTTTCCAAGATCCAAGCATCCCATGTACACATTTCATAAAAGAGCATTTCCGTAATGGAGCTCCAGACACTCAGCTGTAGGCTGGCACCATCCCTTCCCACCCAGCCACATACCCATGCTGCTTCCCTGAGGAAGATGAATCAGTTCAGCTGGCTGATCCGCAGGAACCTATTCACCTCCTTCTCCCTCAGGCTCAGTGTTCCATTGGATCAACCAGATGAACCAACGCATACTGCAGCAACATCAACAAACGCAGGACAAGGAGGCAAGGGGACAACTGGAGTCTCCCATTAGACCAGCTTGGCTGTAACAGAGAAATGCTCCTTCAACAGGGAGCCTGGTGAAAATCAAACATAACAGTGAAAAGTTACCAACTTCCTTCATTAGGAGCCTTTTACCAAAGACCAGCAGGTTTCCTTCTGCTTTACCTTCCATGTATCCTGCTCCTAAAACAATATAGCAAGGTATTTGTGAGTGTATTTGTAAATGACAAGGTAGGACAAGATCATGGCATAAGAACCTACTACCGTGCTACACCATCTCCTGCTTGGAGGCACCGTGCTCTTTTTGTGCTGTGTAGGTGCATTTTTCCCCCATGATTTATTAATGGCTTGCTTCAGTGAGAGAGTTTGCAGAGGGCTGAACCACTGAGGTGTGAATGAAAAGCAGCATGAATGATGTGAGTCAGAGACCTTCCCTCAGAATCGACTTTATTATGCAAAACTTTTTTTTTTTCTTTTTTTTTTGTACAGGGACAACTGAAAAAGCATTTTCAAGGGGCACAGAAGGCATCTCGCAGCAGGAGGGCAGGGATTGGCTTGCCTTGGCTTTTGCAGTTGAGGAGGTCTATCCTGGCTGGAGAGGGAGCAGGTTGGCAGGTTGACCTTCTCTTGAGCCTTTCCAGAAGGAGATTATATTTTACAAAGACACACCATCCATTCTGCAAATGTCCCATCCTTTCGTGGAGAAGTCTGGCCTCGCCTCCTTTGCCTCCTGCCTTGGTCAGGCTGCAGATCAACTCTCTCTTCCTCAGCACCTGAGCCTGAGCCTCTTTCCAACTTCCTCAGCGCACTGTGGAGCAACAACCTTGGCCGCAGATCTCACTGTCAGGATTTTCCATCCCAGCAGGTACCAGTCACTTGACCCCTTCCCCACTTTGCCGTGCTGAACTATGGTGGGAAAGAAAAACAGACACACAGGCAGGCAGGTATCATGAGCAATATCCTGACTGAAAGCATGCTGCAAAGGAGGTGTGTGCCTCTCCCCACAGCCAATCTCCCTCAGAGACCCAGAAATGGCAGAAGAGCAGAAACTAAGTCACTGCTCCCTCCTGTCCTTTACAGGGAAAGCCGCCGCATGCCCAGGGACCAGAGCAGGAGAACCAATGGCCTTCAGGAAACAAGAGCCTTGCCAACTCTCACCTCCAGCCTCGATCCCCAAATGACACAAGAGCAGACAGCTGAGCAGGTACTGTCCCCAACCCACAGGGCAGAGGGGACTTCCCAAGGTCCAGCAGCCTCAGTGCTCACCCCTTCTGCCTCTCCAAGTCTCCCCACACCAGCTGGAGAACCGGTGCTCAGGAAAGATCAGAGCTGTAGGCAGGGGGAGTAGGAGCGAGGGCTGGGTTTGCTGCATCTCTGCTGGGTTTCCTGAGGTGCTGCTGGCCCCTGGTGGCAGGCAGGCTCGGCCACATGGCTACCCACCACGAGTGGGGACACTGCCTACCCACCCATTCTCTGCACAATGACATGCGCTGTGTCTGCACAGGGACAGCCAGGAGTTCACATGACAGTGAACATGCTGACCACCACATCCTGCTCCTACACATCAGGGTCACCGTGAAGGGAACTGCTTGGTGGGGGACACTGCCACCACAGGGGACACCTCCCACAACCAGTAAGTGCTGGCGAGCCCTCAGCCCTAGGAGGGAGAAAAGGCAGCAGTGAAGGAAGGCAGGGACCAGCTGGGTACCCTCCTCATTAACAGAAGATTAAAACTGCCTTTTAAAAACACTGCCTGAAGATCCCTGCTCCCCCCCAGCCCCAGCACAGGACAGATACTGAAAGAAGGCATATTTTTTTCCTCCTCCTGCCCAGCATGGCTACTGCCTCCTCCTTCACAGCCGGCTCTGGCGACACCCCATGCAAATCCCGAGATCCCAGCCAGATCTCTACATCTCCCCGTTCACAACTGCCGTCCTCCTTGAGCTCCCATCACATCGCTGCACGCAGCCTCCGTGCAGGCTGCCCAGAAGAGCAAGGAGGGAGGGTTGAGTCCAGCTCTTCACAGCCCACACGCCATCCTCCACCCTGCACCCTTGCCAGCCTCAGCCCAGCTGTAGCCGCTGGCCCCGAGGTGCCAGGCACTCCTTCAGATACCAAGACACAGTGAACCCGTCCTCCTTGAGCTCCCATCACATCGCTGCACGCAGCCTCCGTGCAGGCTGCCCAGAAGAGCAAGGAGGGAGGGTTGAGTCCAGCTCTTCACAGCCCACACGCCATCCTCCACCCTGCACCCTTGCCAGCCTCAGCCCAGCTGTAGCCGCTGGCCCCGAGGTGCCAGGCACTCCTTCAGATACCAAGACACAGTGAACTCCTGGCAGGGCCGAGTTAGGCAGCTGCCCATCCCCTGGGAATGCAGAGCCCCAGGGCCACCAGCCACAGAGGCTACGAGGCAGTGTGACCCCAGGATGGGCAGCTCATGGGGTGCCAGTCATGGGCCATGAGGAGCACCGTTGTTAGATGTCAGTGCAGACCAGCAACCCCTGCAGAGGGGCCAGTCAGTGCAAAAAGCCTGCAGGAGAACTGCCTTGCACAGCCAGCACCAGGCAAATAAAGAAATGCTGCAGCATATGGGGAGTCCTGGGGAGGTCAGTCCCTCAGCACCAACTCTCGACTCCCACCTTGCACAGGGGAGAGAGAAGTACAAGTCAGGCGGGACCTCAGACCTCATCCAGGGATGACAGCCGATGGTATCTGCTCCCCACAGAGAATAACACCCCCAAAAAGCACAGGCACCCCTTCTTTGAGAGGTGGCTGCCAAACATCCCCCCTCTCTTCTCCAGCATCACCGCCACCTCTCCATCTTGGCTGGGGAACACTTACTTGCCATGCTGCCTCACTCAGCTACGGGGGGCTCCTGCCTACCTGCAGGGAAGAAAACAGGAGAGTCACTGACAGCTTAAATTTCACCCCCTGAACCCCAAGACCCCCATCACCCAGGGTCAGATTCATGCAGAAAGCAAGCTGCTGTCTGGTGGACCCAGGACAGTTCCCAGCCAAGCAGTGCCTCTTCAGAGAGCCAAGGACTCCCGCTGCCTCCCCACTCATTGCATGGCTGGAGGGACTGGAGGGGCTCAGGGCACTCCCAGCCCTCCGAGAATCTGGGTCAGGTCTCTGCTGTACTTGTGCTGCACCAGCCCAGGGAGGGCCAGGGCCCTGCCCAAGAAGCCCAGAGGGCTGCAGGTGAGCAAAATAGGAAGAATTGGATGAAGGAGAGTCCCCGTATCAGCAGACAAGATGACTCGCGTGTCAGAAGCTGCTGGAAGCAGCCTGGTGCTCATCCCTTCCAGAAGAGATTGGTGGATACAGGTAAAGCCATCATTCTGTTTTAAATCAACTTCACAGCTGGGCCAGTTCTCACTTCTGCAACTCCTACCCACAATCTGCAATAAACAGGGCCATACTGTTTTCTCCACTGCCATAAAGCCAATTACACAGTAGGAAAGAAAAGGATATGCATCTACTAAAGGTTGGGCCAAGCTAAGGGCAGCAGCAAGAGCGACAGAGCTCCCTGCACACCCAGGACAACAGCTCTCCAGCTGGAAAAGCACCTTTTCTGCTTCAAAAGCAAAACTAAACTAAGCAAAACTCCACAAGAGTGAA